GACGTCAGCGCCTGGAGCAAGTACGCCGTCCTGGCCCTCATCATCGGGTATCCCTACGTGCACTCGATCCTCGGTATGTACCCATTCCATCTCCTCTGTGCTTGGAAAAAGAAGAAGAACGCTCACGTCCTTTCTTCGCGCAGTCGGCCTGACCTCCCGCAACGCCGGCTCCGTCCGCACGCGCACCGTCGGCAGTGCCGTGTACAACATGACGGTGCAGACGAGCAGCATCATCGGCTCCAACGTAAGCGTCCCCAAAGCCCCCTTTTGTTCTTCTGTTTTGGAATCCCACCCGCCCCTAGTTTGTTTTGTTCTCGAACACGGCTAGTCTGTTCTGTTCCCGAGACACGGCTGACCGCGCAGATCTACCGCGCCGACGACGCCCCCCTCTACCGCCGCGGCAACAGGGCCATCATCGGCATCATCGCGTGGAACTTTGCCTCGGCCTTCCTGGTCAAGGGCTACTACATGTGGCGCAACAAGAAGCGCGACCAGGCGTGGAACGCCCTCGGCGCCGCGGAGAAGGACCACTACCTCGCGACGACGACGGACGAGGGCAGCAGGCGGCTGGACTTTCGGTTCGCGCACTGAGGTGGTGGTGGTGGTGCTGCTGCTGCTGCTTCTGGGTAGCGGGCGAGGGATGGGCGACGGGCTGGACATTACGATACTGCGATCAGTCGATCACAAGTCGGGAGGGTTTCGATTCTGCAACGCTGGAGATGGACACGGATCGGCTGCTAAAATGGTGCCGAGTACAATCAATAGACATGAGAATATGACAGGCATTTTTTGGCCCGGATTTTGTATAGATTCGATTCCTCAGTGGCGGGCGCTTTACAAGACCGTGTCCCAGTCTTTCGTTTCGAGCTACAATACTCCTTATCGCATCCGCAGGACAAACATTTGCCCACCGACAGAAGTGTCAGGCCTGACACACTTTGGCAAGAAACACATCAATATGATCTGCATGTACGATAGTCACCGAAAGACAGCATCCCCATCATCACAAATCACAAATCACGTGCAAAACACTCAGTTGAAAAGCCGAAAAGAACATGCTTAGTATTCATCCTACAACCTCCCTACGATTGCGTCGGCATGGAAACGTCCGCCTTCTGCGACACGGCGTCGGCGCTCTGCCACAGGGCCGTAACCGTCTTCTGCTGCGTGTAAAAGTTGACGCCGGGCCTTCCGTAAAAGGTGCTGGCGCCGCCGCCGGCGATGCTCTTCTTGTTGCCGGTGAAGGAGAACATGGGCAGGGGCACGGGGATGGGGACGTTGATGCCGACCTGGCCGGCCTCAATGTGGCGGCGGAACGTCTCGGCCGTGGGGCCGGAGCGCGTGAAGATGGCCGTGCCGTTGCCGTATTCGTTCTTGTTGATGAGCTCAATGGCGTCATCGAGAGTCTCGACGTTGAGGCACACGAGGACGGGGCCGAAAATCTCCTCGGTGTAGCACTTCATCTTGGGCGTCACGTTGGAGATGATGGTGGGGGCGACCCAGTTGCCGTTGGGGTACTTGGCCGGCGTGTACCCACGGCCGTCGAGGAGGATGGTGGCGCCCTCGTCCTCGGCGCTCTGGATGAGCGCCTCGATGCGGGCCTTGCTGTGCGGGGAGATGACGGGGCCAAGATCGGCGCCGTCCTCGAAGCCACCGTCGACCTTAAGCTGCTTGGCCATCTCGGCGAGCTCGGGCAGCCACTCCTTGGTCTCGCCAACCATGACGAGGGTGCTCAGGGCCATGCAGCGCTGGCCGGCGGCGCCAAACGCGGCGCCGACGACACTGTTGAGGAAGTGGTTCTTGTTGCAGTCTGGCAGGACAGCGGCGTGGTTCTTGGCGCCGAGGTTGGCCTGGACGCGCTTGCCGTGGGCGGAGCCCTTGTTGAAGATGTACTCGCCGGCCTTGTTGCCACCGACGAAGCTGACAGCCTTGATGACGGGATCCTCGAGGATAAAGTCAACGGTGCGGTGGGCACCGTGGACAACGTTGACGACGCCCTCGGGGAAGCCAGCCTTCTTGACGAGCTCGGCCAGGATCATGGCCGCGCCAGGGTCACGTTCGGAGGGCTTCAGAATGAGAGTGTTGCCGGTGACGGTGGCGATGGGGATGCACCACAGGGGAATCATGGCGGGGAAGTCTTTGTGGCATCGTCAGCACTTTTCTGTAGGGTACATGGCCAGAGCAACAGGCAACTCACTGAAGGGGCAGATGGCGGCCACGACACCGAGGGGCTCACGGTAGCTCCTCGTCTCCATGTCCTTGGCCACCTCGAGCACCTCGCCCTTCATGAGCTCAGGCGCCGCACAAGCAGCCTCGGCGACCTGAAGGCCACGCAGGACGTCGCCCTTGGCATCGGCAAACGTCTTGCCCTGCTCGAGGGTGATGCTGGCGGCCAGGCGGTCCCAGTTCTCGCGGATCAGGCCGACGAAGCGGAACATGATGGACTGGCGGTGCAGCACGCTCGTCGCGCGCCAGGCGACGCCCGCCTTCTCGGCCGAGTCGACGGCGGCCTGGAGCTCGGCGTCGGTCATCTGGGGCACGCGGGTGACGAGGTTGTTGGTGGCGGGGTCGTGGAGATCGATGAACTTGTCGGCCTTGGACTGGACAAACTCATTGTTGATAAAGTAGGGCGTGTCTTCGGGCTTGGCAATCTTGTCGTGAGTGCGAGGGAACGACTCGGCCGTCGACGCGAGGGCGGCGCTGAGGTGGGAGGCCGTGGCGTGTATCCTCCTGGCAGCAACGGCACCGGGGGCCGGGGCATTGGCGGGGGCCATGATGGCGGAGGTCGCGGTCGCGCTGGATGATGTGAGGAGAGAGGAACGGTTGGCGGCGAAGGATCTGGAAGAGCGACCTGCGCTGACGCTGACGCCTCGAGAGATGGCTCGACGCATTGTGGAGAGGAGGGAGGAGAAGGGAAGAAGAATAAAAAGACGGGAGGGGGGCGGGAGAAGAGGAAGAGGAGGCGGGAAGCAGTAACGGGTGCAAGGGAAGGCACGAGGTTCGATCGCTTAGGGGTGATCACTCCCTGTCCGATTGGGCCTTGGGCGAGACAGGCGTCTACCGATGGGCACTGACTGATTCGTATCCTATCGTGACAAGCAATTACAAGATGCAGGCACAGACACTGACACAATCAGAGAGAGAGGCGGGGGGCGGCAAGAAGCTGCGACATCGTGGTTCGGCCATGTCCTTATAAAGGGCGGCCGCCGCCGGCCATCGGCATCGGCTATCGTAGGAGGTACCTGGACTGAACCTCAGCGCGCCCTGTCTGCCTTGTCTAGGTAGGTAGGTACCTACCTAGGTACCTACACTGTATCTACCACAGCTGCCTTAGATGACTTGCCCAGTCTGGCAATCAATCCACAACGTGCCCCCTCCCAAAGCCTCCAAGCACTGGCTCCCACCACCAAACAGTGGCCCCCAGCGCCAAACAGCGGGGCGGGGTAGCCTGTTCCCCCCATCCATTCCCCAGACTTTGACTAAGAGATACCCGGCCCCTCACGCCCAGCCTCGACCCCGTCACCCAGGCCCTCAACCGCCCAGCCGAAGCGTTTTCCCCCAATGCCGCTGGATGCCGAACCTCCTCCATTGAGCCTGGCTACCACATCGAGCCCGGCTACCATTAAGCGACACCGGGCGCCCGGCCTCGTCTCGTGTGCTCTACCCTGCTGTAGACATGACGCTCACCACCATCACCATCGACGTACCGTGGAAATAAAAGTCAACGTGAATTCTGAATCCTACTGCGCCAGAGCTCCTCTTGTTCCCCCCCAGTTACACTGACCAAATACATCATGCATCTCCGAGGGAATCAATCGATAAGGGGGGAAAGAACTGATCAACCTTTGCTTCGTGTCCGCTCTCTTTTCTTCCCTGCTCGTCATTGTGACGCTCCCCCTACAGGCCACCGCTCCCGTCCATGCCGGCCGGGAGGGGACCCTCGCAGTCCTCGTGCCACCATCCGCGCCGCCACTCCATCTACGACTGGCTCCTGGTAGTGCGCTTGTTGGCCTCCTGCTTGACAGTCTCCGCGCCCGAAGCAGCCGCCTTGGTCGCCTTGTCCTTGACGTCCTTGGCCGCCGCCTTGGCGTCGCCCGCCGCCTTCTTGACAGCGGGGGCGGCGCTGCCACCGCCCGCCGCGAAGCTGGCAATAAGGACGAGGAGCGTGGCGAAGAGCGCCGCGAAGCCACCGGCAACCTCGGGAACAAACTTGATGGCCTCAATGGGTCCTTCTGCGCAATCGTCACAAAGAGGTCGACCTTCTCCTTGACATACGTGACGGGGTCGTCCGTGAACTTGAGGTCGCTGGGCGACGCCGGCTTCTCCTCCTGCTTGGGCTTGGCCGCCTCCTCGAGCGACTTCTCAACGGCGTGCTTGGGCTTGAACGTCTCCTCGGCGAGCTTCTCGGCGTCCTCGATCGAGTGGCCGACATAGATGTTGTCAAACAGAATGTCGCTCTGCATGGTCCAAATCTCAAAGCCAATGGCGCCAATGGGCTCAAAGTTGGCGGGCGTCTTGTCCTCGTAGAAGTCGGGGTTCTTGATCTTGCGGGGGGCCCAGACGCCCTTGTAGTCGGGGTTGTCGATGAAGGGCGGAGTCCACTGGCCCTTGTAGTCAGGGTTGCGCTTCATCGGCTTGGTCCAGGGGCCACAGCCAGAGTTATCGGCGCAGGCGGGGTTGGGCACGGTAGGGGCGAGCCAGTCACCATCCTCCTCGTCGTCCCAGTCCTCAGGCTTCTGGGCCTCGGGGTCAGGGATGGTGAGGGGCTCGTTCTCGAGCCAGTCCTCGGGCTTCTCGGCCTCCTCGTCGAGAATCTCAAAGGGAGCCTCCTCATCCCAGTCCTCGGGCTTCTTGGCCTCGGGATCGGCAATGCGGGCCTCATCAACCCAGGTGTCGGGCTTGCGGTCCTTGGGGTCCTCAATCTCCGCGGGAGGGTTGACCGGGGGAAAGAAGTCCTCGAGGAGGGAGCCGGTCTTGACCTGCTCGTTGTTCTGCTTGATAATGAACGTGTTGTCGGGCTTGACAATCAGGGTGTATAGCTCAGTCGTCTTAACGATCTTGGCCGTAGGAGGGGGAGGACACTGCCTTCTCCTCGTACTCGCCCGTCTTGGGGTTCTTGTGCTGGAAGATGAAGTGGACCTTGTTGGTGTGGCCACACTTGTCGGGACCGAACATAATGACGTACGGCGTGGTGTTGCTGAACTCCTCCTGGTGAAGAGCCTTGTTGTCGCGGAGAAGCTTAAGGTAGGCACCACCGCATTCGAGGCCGTCTGGAAACGACTTGTCAGCGCTGTTTCAGGCTATTCTGCGCCAGGGACACTTACTCTGAAGCTTGACCTCGTACTGGACAACGAGAGTCTTGCCCTTGTTGTCGATGGCCTTGGGGAACTTGGCCGAGATGGCGTGGTGAGCAGCAGCGTTCTTGACAACAAGACCCTTGTCGCCCTCAACGCCCTTGAAGACGGAGGGTTCTTCAACGGACCACTCGCCGACGTAGGCCCACTCCTCGTCCTCCTTCTCGCCATCCGTCTCCTTCTTGGCGTGAGAGGGCTTCCAGCGGGTCTCCCAGTCATCGGTGAACTGTTCAAGGAAGTCGGCCTTGATGGAGGTAGGCTGCAGGCGAGAAAAGCATCAGCATCGCTGTCCAGCACACGCACGTGGCGAAGAAGCCGTGAATGTGCGGGGGTGAGAGGCAATCGGGGAGTGGCAACTTACGGTGAAAGCGGCGATCTTGGGGGTGACAGAGGACGCCTCAGCGTCCTTGGCCTCCTCAGCATGGACATTGCCAGCAAGGAGAGCGGCGGCAGAAACCGCGGCAACAGCGTTGAACTTCATCTTTGAAGGTGCTTAAACACGCGAGCGGAAGCAAGAGGAAGGAAGGTGGTGGACGAGGTGAGATAGCTGAACCGGGTGGGTTGCGGTATCAACAATGTGGTGTCAAGACTGACAGTGTGGCTTCTAGCGAGAACTGAAGAAGAATGCCCGAACAATCAGAAGGACTCACGCTGGAGGGATGGAGGTGAGGGAAGATGGTGGATTTTCTAGTCGGGCGGTGGCCGGATTGTGCTCAACGTGTCCTTTTTTGAGGCAGGAGTTAAGGTCCCCTCTCAGAAAAATAATGGGTTCTCCCGGGGGGGGAGAGCGTGCTCAGGGTCGGAGTGTTAGTCCCCCCCCACGCACACCACCTGCCTCCCTAACGGCCAGTCCACGGCAACCAGTGCTAAAGTGCGGGGGCTGGTCCCTGTAAAGCTCCACCGCACTCCTCTGCTCCAGGGGCTTGGAGGCTCTGGCTCTCGGTGAAAGTAGGCCGGCTGCAGCGGCGACAGGGGATGTGAGAGGCAGGAGCTCTGTTGATAGGTGTTTCCAGGAGCTTCCATCCAAGGGCGACCCACTTTCCCCAAGCCAGACACGATCTGGTCCTCCTCCCAGTCTTGTGCTCTGTGACACCTGGGCTTGGTTTCACGGTTCTGCAGCAGGCTGCGCCGTGATGCGGGCAATGCGAAGCAGGACTTGCCTTCGAAATGGGTGTCATGGAAGTCAATTGATCGTTTCAGTGTCTCCTCGCCCGTGTCCCAGCTTCTCTGTGATGATTATGCTATTCCCCTTTCTTGACCTGCTTAGCACCATGATTAGGTTGGTACCTGACCCAGGTAGGTAGGATTCGTTGGAGTAAGTAGGACGGGGCCATCCTCGGCTCATCTTGCATGCAGTGTGTGGGCCTCCGTCCATCAGCCTCATCCAACGCGCCACGCTGTCCACAACCGCTGACGCCTTTAGGGACCGCCCAGCATCGTCGTTGACGCCTAATCCGCGATCGTTTTGCCAGGCTACAATGATAAAGAAACTATGCTTCTCCCACAGGAAGATCTCATTTCCCTTGGTGAATTGATCATCAAAGGATGATCAAGGAACAGGTCTCATGGCACCATCGTCGATCAATCAAGGCGAGAAGCGTGTTTTTTTTTACTACCTGGTCTCACTTTGGACTGATGGTTTGTAAATATTGATGACAACGACCATGGATGTGATCTTTGGCAAGCCACTTCCAAAGTCTTGCTATCTGGTAGTGCTTAATTCAATGGCCCCAATCTGCAAGACGATGGGTAAGGTGTCCAGGATGGCGTGGTAAACGTGAGCAGTATGAAGAGTATACTTCGGAACAGTTTCCAAGTCCTCCTCTTGCGACCCTCCAGTCCTCCCAATCATTCTTCTTGGCGTTCAGCAGGTGACAATTTGCATCATTCTGGGCAGCTCACAAGCATCAAAGATACTATATTTCGACCTTACGGCCGGACACCTTCACGCTGCTTTGCAAGCGATCTGTCAGCACAAACTGCTGTATCAACTGTGATTGCAAGCCATCCCGCCACTCTCACAGCCACCTTGAATGCTGACTCGCTCATCCCAAATCAGGGCCAGTAGTACTAGTATAGGTAAGCTCATTAGACGGAGCTGGTCGGGATATCGTAGACATTTTTTTCAGACTAAGTCAATTGTAGTGAAAGGTTGACTTGAAGAAGCAACAGGGTATGGACCCAATACTTTGAAATCACACGAGGAGCCAAAGATCAGAGGGATGAGACTGGTTCTGGCACATCGTGCTACATTTGGCGGACGTGGCATTGATCAATGCGATCAGTGGGTCAACTCCGAGGCTCTTCGAGTATCTCAATACCTGTTGCTTGCGGACGAGAAGAATATGCATGATCCAGGTACAACTTCTTCCGACTCAACCTGAATCGATCGCGTCCTAGACGGGGATTGTTTTGCGGCAGACATGGTTGCTTAGAACTGGCCATGTGGGTGGGCAAGATATGCAAACAGGGAAGACACATGACAGCGTCGTTTGTTAAGAACTCGCGAGTAAGCTTGGTCCTCTATGGAATATACTTTTCCTATGGATCGTGCACTACCTAGTCTTGCTTCTGACTTCGTTAGCGATGTCGCTTTCCCTGCAACGCATTCACCGGTTGCGTGACATCGGATATGGCAAGAAGTATGACGTATCCGTCACAGCGGAGGCGCTCCTGGCTGAGCTTTTGGTGAGCCAAATTGTTGATTCTGGAAGTATTACTCATACTGATTGTGCCCTTTCCAAACCGCTGCAGCTCTTGAGGTGCCCTTCAGACGTGATGAGGTCAAACTGCCTCGCCCGATCAGATAATGAAAGTCAAGTTCTACGTAGAACGGATTTTATGAAAAGTATGTTGCAAAGCAGAAAAAGTGCGTGCCCGAGGTAGCCAGGAGATATGCTGTCCACTAGTTGTTCTCAAACCAGCGTCTTCAGTAGGTACCTATCTCAACCGTAGGCAATCTTGGCTGGCGTTGAAAGGGGTGAAGGTCTTAGCGAGTGGCAAAACCGCAGGACATCGCAAAATCCATGCCGGAAAGTTCAGTTGGACGGTAGTGGCCACCGGAGAGGACTTGTATGTAGATGGATCATTACGCCCCAGCACGGGTCGGATGTTGGCCTCCTGAGACTATGCACTCACCGACATCGCTATGGGCATGCCGACACCCAAGCAAGCGACGTACGCCTAACCTCGAACCAACCAGTCAAACGAATTCAATCAACACAAAAAGCACCACGAAACTGCACTAAGAGAAGCAATCTCGGCTTCTTCACGTGGTGGTTTATTTTCTTAAAGGACACCTGAAGTTGACGAGCATTATGTCAGCTGGGGCCATGAACAAGACGGCATGACGATGGGCGGGTCGCCAGTAGCCGCGCCTGCGAATCACGAAACGGCGAATCACAGCGTCGTCGAGCCTCACATGTTCCTCCAGAACGAGGGGAATTTTTTCTTCCATGAAGTGATCGCCGCGCACCCAGCCAGCTCTCCTCAACTTTCTCCGCGAAAACGTGCGGCCTGTGCTACAATCTAGGCAAACGCTTCTCGACGTGTACCGACTGGGAACTCCTTCTATACTGTCCTCGCCCTGAAGCTGGCCCAGCGCCCGCAGCGTTCCGACTGACTACCCCGCCATCGCCATGTCGTCCTCCAACCTCGAAAACCCGGACCAGCTCGTCACCTCCACGAACCCTGACCACCCCGCCAATCTCATTCCCTCTCTGTGCGCAAAGTTCTGGACCCTCGGCTGGGTCACAGGCACCGGCGGCGGCTGCTCCATCCGCGAAGAGTAAGCCTACACGTCCCCTCAAGCCAGCTAGCCAGCCAGCCAGCCAGCAAGCAAGCCAGAGCTCACCACCAGCCCAGTGACCTCGTCTACATCGCCCCCTCCGGCGTTCAAAAGGAGCTCATGAAGTCCACCGACATCTACGTCCTCTCCCTCGCAGCCCAGGAAGCCTCCCTCAAGAACAGAACCTACCTCCGCTCGCCGCCAGCCTACAAGCCGTCGCAGTGCACGCCGCTCTTCCTCGCGGCCTTCACGCGGCGCGGCGCCGGCTGCTGCATCCACACGCACTCGCACTGGGCCGTCCTCGTGACGCTGCTGCTCGAGTCGGCGCCCGGCGACGGCAAGCTGTTTGAGATGAACAACATTGAGCAGATCAAGGGCTTCGGCCGCGGCTTCCAGAAGCAGGGCAACCTTGGCTACCACGACACGCTGCGCATCCCCGTCATTGAGAACACGGCCCACGAGGAGGACCTGACCGAGTTCCTCGAGGCGGCCATGGACCGGTACCCGGACACGTACGCCGTGCTTGTCAGGCGGCACGGCGTCTACGTATGGGGCGATAATGTGCACAAGGCCAAGACGCAGTGCGAGAGGTGAGAGATGCTTCCGTTGGAGCAGCTGTTGCTCCTGGAGAGATCGTCATGCTAACGAGAACCAGCCTGGACTACCTCTTCCAACTAGCAGTAGAGATGAAGCAGCTCGGCATCCCGTGGATCAGCGACATCCCCGTGGTCAAGCCTACAAGAATCTAGAGTAGATCACAGCAGGTGAACCAGCACGAGGTCACGCACACCCAAGGTGGAAGGTACAGAGCATTGGCATGAACAAATTTGAAGCTTTTTTTCGTATATTCTTCTTGGTCTGTCTGGCACCGACATGTTCAAATCATGCACCCGGACATCCAACTCGCTCACCCGCTCATCTCGACGTACCCTTCATCCAAGATATGCACATTAATGAACCCCGCAAAACCATCCACTCAGGCCCAACCATCTGCTTCGCCATTTTACAGGAAGAAAGCAGCGACGAGGCCGAAGAAGCCCAGGGAAGAGCTGACAAGGAGGCTGGCGCCGGAGTCAGCGCCAGTGGTCTCGGAGGCATCAGAACCAGCGGTGCCGGAGGCGTTGTCAGAGCCAGAGTCAGAGTCAGTGGCGGTGCCGGTAGAGGAGCCGGTGGCAGCGGTGCCGGTGGTGGTACCGGTCTGGGTACCGGCAGCAGCGCCAGTGGTCTGCGTGGCAGCGGCGTTGCCGTTGTCGGCAGGGGCACCGTTGGTGGAGTCAGCGTCGAAGTAGTGCTCCTTGATGCACTGGTCACGGCACTGGGCGAAGGCGTTGGTCTCGGCCTCGGAACCGTCACCCTGGTCGCAGTCACCGACGCACTTGTCCAGGGCGATGGCCTGGGCGTCGCTGGGGGCAGGGACCTAAGGCACAGTCAGTACGTTGTCAGAGGAAACGACAGAAAGTTGGAAGCAACGTACGGAGACGCAGCGAGCCTGGCAGGTCGAGTCGGTGGCGTCGCACTCCTTGAGGCACCTGTTGATGGCGGCAGCGGCCGAAGAGGCAGCGGCATCAACGCCAGTGGGAGTGGCCACACCGGGGACGGTGGTGACGGTGGTCTCCTGGGCGTAGGCAACGGCGAAGGCGCCGGCAAGAAGGATGTTGTTGAAGCGCATGTTGGCGGTTTGGGTGGTCGTAATTACGAGGGTGTTTGGTATTACGAATACGTAGAAGATCGAAAGTAGCGTAAAGTAAGTCGTGTGAACGAGGGACGACTTTTGTTGAGAAGGTGAAGAATAGCGAGCGTAAGTGTACTTGAAGCAGAGCGAGCTGATCGAACCAGAGGAGAGGAGAGCAAAGCCCAGATGGAAGGGGAGGCACAGGCTCTTGTTTAAAAACACCGGCGCCGGCGCCAAGAGGGAAGAAGCCCTGTCCTGCGCGAGGCCCGCTCGTTGGGCCTCTGACCTTGGTCAGGCTTGTGGGCTGGTGTGTGGGTGTGGGTGTGGGCGTCTACGGCATGTGCGCAGAAGGTCATAACAATAACCTCCAAGCCCGCTTCTCGTGTCCTAGTCCCACCGACAGGGCGAGGCAGAGCAGGGCGGGCAGCTCCAGCGCCCGTGCGAACAGACCACGGCTACGGCCATAGGCGAGACGACGCAGCGCATACCGGCGTCACACTCCGGGGGTGGGCAGTCCGAAAGGACCAGGATGGGGCGGGCCATGGATGGGGACCAGAGACACGCAGGCAGTTCGGCGTCCAGTCATCAGTCAGGCAGGTCTGAAAACTAGGATCAGATCGAGTCGAGTTGGATGGGGACTTCTGGGGAAAATGGCGATTCAGACTTCGGGATGCAGGGATGAGGGGGGAAGGGCGGGCGACTTTGGCTTTCCCGTGCAGACGCGAGTGCCGCAAATCTCCTTTTTAGATTGCAGGCGTTTCTGGTCCAGCAGACAGAGTTGGAGGTCCTGTTTCCACGCCGGCCACACCGTGGGGAAGTCAACACAGGGAGCTATGGCGGTCGATGCTCTGGATCAGAGAGGGGATCTGTTGGCCTGTCAGGTGTTGTTCGTACGAGAGACTGTCTCGGTCGTGTCTTTGTCGTTGCTGCGGCGTCATGACTGTGCAATGTTGATAATGTCATGTCGATGTTGGGTTCGGGGAGGATGGGTGGAATGGGGGGTCTCGGCCAGTCTCTGTCTCTCTTCCTGCGAGTGCTCGAATGAAAATGGGCGGCCAACCCGGGAATCTGCATGGTGGAACCTGCCTGTCGACCTCTACCCAGTTTCAAACCCTGTAAAATGATATGGCAAGAGAGACCTGAGCGGCTCTCCTTCCTACCGCCCACCCAAAAGTGCAGTGCAGTGAATTGTGGTGGGTGGATGGTCGGGCCAGTGCTACACAGTTTGCTTGCTCTTTCCCATAACATCTGCTGGGTGCGTGCCCACGGACCTGCCCAACACGAGGAAATGGTCATGTCGGATCAGGAAACCCAATTCGTGATTGGGACATCTGATTGGTAGTAAGGCCTTTTCAGGGGCGGAGTGATGCTAGCGTCGGCATCAACGCTTCTTTTCTCGTCGCCAGTCGCTACTGTCCACTCGACGCTACGCATGAAGCCCCCCTTCTTCCGTTTGTACATGTATGTGTGTACCTTAATACATGGTACGCACAGTACTAGGCAGCCTGTTGAGCTGACCTGATGTCCTTGCTTCAATGGGGCGCTCGCTCATCAGACGATGACTCTCAGCCGCTGCCCCCAGGCGAGTCATCAGCGACTCCCTCATGCATCGTTCTCTTTTGGTGGGACAAATACGTGCGGCACAATTGCTCCAGGTAATGTGATGACGTTCAATTCCCCAAGACGCGAACCCTTGGGCTATGCATCTGTGTCTTGTTCACCGCAATCGCGTGTCGTCTGTGCCGTGCCGCTCGGTTTCGCCTCTGCTCCCGAAGTGGCTGCTGTGCTGCTGTGCTGTGTGTGCTGGCGAAGTCGAAGACACCGATCGGCATTCTACACCAGCAGAAAAAGCTTGACACACCCACCTCACGCTGCAACCTACAGGGTCGCGTCGGCGGCCGAGCAGCGCCAGGCGATCGCCCCCCCTTCTGCAGTGCCCGCCTGCGCCCACACGCCACACCAGACTCACACCACCGCGCTCAGCAATACGAGCTTTGCCCCTCTAAAAAAACGCGTGGGCACAGGGAGCACCCACTGGATCTGGCCGTCCGAGCCAAGGGGCAACCGTTGAGAGGGCTTCCGCTTCCACTTCCAGAGAAGAAAAATAGACGGCTGCTTCTATTCGTGTCACCCTCCCAAGACGAACTCGCCCACTTGATCCGCCTGCTGTCAACCACGTCCTGGTGAAGAAGCAGAAAAGTGGTCTCCGTGTTCATGCACGAGTTGGGCCGAAATCTCGGATCCGTCGACCGATATGAGCTTTTGGCAGGGGATGCTCGCACCGCCACTTGTCGGTCCCCCTTTTCCCTCGGCAATAGCATTCGATAGTTGACCACAGCCTTGTGGCTTACACTGTGAGGTGAGTCGCTCAATGTTACCGTGCCTTGAGCCAGGCCAAGAAGGACGGCCTTGCTACCGGGGCATGTTCCTCATCCGTTGTTGTGCACATTGCAGCAGATCATCGACGATGGGCACGGAAATTACATCGCAAAAGTCCATGTCCTTCATTTGACTATTTCATGGAGCAAGCATTGTCGATACCAGCGGACAAACTGGTAGCCAGTTGCTCATTTTCATTGGCCTACAGCTCGTCCCTCTGTTGCGGCACCTCGACAGGCTCTTGCACCGCATCGTGGAACTCGTCCGCCTCTTCTCCATCCTCAAGCTCATCGTCCGCCTGAAGCTCTGGCATGTCTTCCACCATCTTGCCAATCTTCTCAACCAAACCTTCAGCGTCACCCTTTACTACCACTGTGCTCTCCGCTTTCGCAGTACCAACGTCAATGGTTGGCAGATCACTGTCCGGTAGGCCTTGAACCTCAACGGTCGCCTGGTCTACGACCACTGTCGATGAACCGCTCGAGCTGCCGTACTTGATGACAGCACCTCCTCCGCCCATCACAAGGCTGTACAACATCCTAATAGGTAGCCAGACAAGCCACCATGCCGGTCCATACAGGAAGCGGCGAAAGACCAGCCAGGCACCTGTCGAGAGGAGCATGTACATGGCCGTCTGTAGGTACCACGTGTCACTCTTCTGGGACTTGACAAGGGTTCCGAGAAGGTCCTTTGAGCTCGCAAGCATCCCTTCCAGTGACCCGTATGATTCGTCCAACTGCGCCAGCGCAGCCGAAGATTCTGTCAGCGTTTGGTGCGCGAACTCGCTGCGCGCCAGCTCCGCTGCGATGAGGTCGTGCGTCCGCCGCAGCGAGCTCGTCACGTTGCTGGCCGCACCAACCGTCTTCTGATCCTCCTCCGACAGGGTAGACTGCTGCTGATGGGCGTGGTGCGCCTGTCGGTGGTGGCGGATGCTCGGCGCCTTGATCGATTCGGCGTCTTCGGCGCCGAGACGGGGAGAAGTCGCTTCGGAGACGGGCTGCGAGTAGGACTGCAAGAGAAGCTCGCGTTCGAGTCTCTGCGCCCGGGTGAGGTTTCGCTTGGCCACGATCTGGGCTTTCCTAAAGTTGAGCCGCGAGCTGCGCAAAGCCTTGTAAGCTGCTGCTTTGTACAATTTGTTCTCCGTAGCTTGAATCAGGTGTCCCGTACCTCTTGAGTTCCTGCTGCAACCGCTCGAGCCCATCCTTCAACCTCGTCTTCGTGTGCTCTGTTTCGCTCCCGGGGCGTCCGCTCCTGATATCCTCGACTTCCTCTTGAAGAAGCTCGAGCTCGTCCTCCTCTTCGCGCAGAATCTGGCTGATCTCCGCGCTCAGCTCCGTGCCAACATTGTCGTCATCCGGGCCGCCGAGGGGCACGGATCCGGGCTGGAAGGTGAGGTTGTGCAGCCGATCAATAAGCTCTTGGAGCTGCGATGTCGTCTCCTGCAGAGCCGTCAGGCGCTCTTGTAATCCTTCGAAAGACATTTTGGTGGTTTGGGCTCTGCTTTGAATTGTTTTTTTGGTTCGTGGTGCTGCGACCCGGTGACGTTGTCCGTCCTCGAAAGCTGGCCTCTGTCAACATGCAGTGACGAAATCCACATTTCAAGCCAGGGAAAGCCCCCGCTCCGTTAGAGCGATTTGAGCACCATCCCGTCAGCCATTGCAGCCCCCCGTAATGGCATGACCGCCCAGAAATGCAATACAAGCTAACCCCCAAAATTTCCGCCAGCAACCGCCATCCCATCGCATCACGGAAACCCCGACCACCAACCTCTAGGGACAAGCCAACCGCAAAAAAACGCCAGCATCGACACAAGGAAGCCCGTTCGCCCACCATGATCACGAAATACATGACCGAGATCACCACGCGGTTCAACCCGTTCACGATGCAGGCCCGCCCGGCCCGCCTCTTCCTCTCCTTCCTGCCGCCCAACGCGCGCCAGTCCGGCCTCACGATCAACACGGTCCTGCTGCCCAGAACATCCAAGGAGGCGCCGTCGCTGTTTGTCAAGTTTAGTGCGTGGCCCGAGATCCTACTTGCCCCGCGCCGGCAGGAGTGCCTCACCCCAGCATCGGCCCATCGGGGCGCGCGCGATGGAGAGAAGAGAACGCGATGTGCTAACGTGGTGCTCCTACAGAGGATGGCAAGGAGATGACGCTCGACTGCGAGAAGCTGGGGATCAAGGGCCTGCTGGAAGAGGTTGATCGGCACTCGAGAGGTCTGCAGAAGCAGGCCGACATGACGGATTCTTGAGGGGAACGGTTTCGGTGGTTCGTTGTACATTATATGGCGTGTGGCATTATTGGCGTTCGGGATGGACACGATACCTCGTGAGCGTTCGTCCAGAGCTGTACGAATTGAAGCGTTTGGGACCATCTCTTGTTGATGATCTGGTTCAGACAAGACGGAACATTTGACCTTGGCGGCCGACAACTGGATCACCAGGCATGTAAAGATATACAATCACAGCATCACGATTCACGTAAACGGGCTCATGTTCCGCGAGAGGGACATTTTGACGAGGTGGTATTTATTTTGAACTTTGTGACGAAGCGTGCGCATCCGATGTGTCATGCTGAAGCTACCGCTCCAGCTCACTTGGGTGACCTGCTCCCGCCAAGAGTACGACGAAGCGACGCGAACATCCTTGGGCTTAGCGGTCGAGCTGAGTCTGGCTGATCCAAGGAGCAATCCACGTTGGGCAAGTGGCCCGGATGGATCGCTTCAGCTGGGGTAGCTTCTTTCGATTCCGTCCTGTGCGAGGAGCCCTTCAAAGCAGTCAGTCGCCCTGCCGCCGCACTCCGAGTAGCATTGCGAGGCATCTAGCTAGCAGCACCGCTGATGAAGAACCACTTGTCGATAGAGGCGTCGATCTTCTCGGCGGGAAGCTCCTGGTGAGCGGGCAGAGGGGGGAGCTGGTCGGGCGTGACGCGGCTCTGGGACTCAGCAACAGTCAGGTTGGTGCTGCAAATGGTCAGTCTCATGCGTCAATGCGGGCTTTGGCGGACATAAAAAACTTACGTCGAGATGCCACCGGGCTGAGTCTTGCCGGTGATGAGACGGTCCCAGGCCTCGGCGGCCTCACGGACGACATCCATGGCGTACTTCTTGTTCTTGCACTCGCCGGTGAAGGCGAACTGGTTCTCGGGCTTGCCGTCGGGGATCTTGTAGATGCGGAACCACTCGTTCGTGGCGCGCAGAAGACCGGGCAGGTGGCGCTCGACGTCCTCAACATCGTTGAGCTTGGGGGCGAGAGGGTCGTTGACGTCAATGACAATGACCTTCCAGTCGGTCTCCTCCTCGTCGAGAAGGGCCATAACACCGAGAACCTTGACCTGCTTCACCTGGCCGGTGTAACCGACAAGCTCGCCGATCTCGCAGACGTCAAGAGGGTCGTTGTCACCCTTGGCCTTGGTCTCGGGGTGGATGACGTTGGGGTCCTCCCAGGTCTGTGTAGACGTATCAGCTCATGGATCGAGGGAGGGGTGCTCTGTCGATGTGGGCTGCATACCTGGGGGAAGGCACCGTAGTTCCAGAGGTAGCCCTTGTGGGGGAAGCAGTTGCGGACGAAGCGAAGCTTGCCCTTCTTGGTGTCCTGCTTGATGGGGTTGAGGAGCTCATCCTTGGAGATCTGGACGCGGGGCAGAGTCAGCCAATGGGTTTCTGGAGTGGGGGAGGGGTTGTTGTGCAGGGTGGAATGAGGGCAATTCGCAACACCCGTCGACCACGCAAAACAAGGGGCGCAATGGCGCGAGGCAGGGCAGAACACACCTCCTGCTTGGCGTTGGTCCAGCGAGGGATCTCAACGATCATGTTCAGGATCGTCTGCTCCTTGTTGGCGTACAGGGGAATGTCGTGGAAAGGGGAGACAGGGACGCCATCCTGCTCGATGTAGACACGGTGCTCCAGGGTGTGGGGAGCACCGATCTTGCGGAGGGTGTAGGTAGAGGCCATGTCAGCGGTTGGGGACGCTGGCGATAGGTATGGTGTGGGATGCGAGGGGGAAGATGCCGTCGAGAGGTGACGAGCAATCTGCGCAGTGCGTTGGGAGGAGGAGGAGGAGAAGGGAGAAGAGGAAATTTGAGAATTATTCGCTCGAGCGGAAAGCGCCTGCGAAGTGGTCCTGGCCGTGGCGGATGATGCAAGAGCTGTGGAAGGAGGGGGAGGGGCAGAAACCGGGGCGGGGCCAGCGCCAATGCCAACGCCAATGCCACTGCCAGCACCGGAGGCAGGGCCTGCGCCTGAGCGTGCTGCCGCCGCCGTGGCAGACGTGGAAAGGCCAGCTCTGTCAACAGTAGAACCACTGCCACCACCACCACCACTTGCGCGTGCACCCGCACCCGCACCGGAGTGAGGAAGCCCCATTAGCTTGGTGTTGGCTACCAGGGTTCTCGACTGATTGGCCCGACTCGGGGCCTGGATCGGAGTTGGTAGTTTTCTTGCAGTTACAGATGTCAGACTCCTTTGAGAGACCTTCAACAGGTATGGCTTGGGCGCGCTCTGCAGCTTCCAGAGACCTCGAGATGATAGTGACGGCATGTGTTGCAACGGTGATGAGAACAAAGAGGAGGAATGAAGGGGAATGGTCCCAGCGAACGAGGGGCCTCTGCAGCTAAAGGGACCTGGGAACGGTCCGCTGCTGGTGTTTCGACCGTCTTGTGTGAGCTGTAACCCGAGGTAAATGGTGACATTCCGGCGGGCTGAGCGCGGCTAGACTGGGCTAATGCGCTCTGGTTGCCGGCCTCACTGCCTCAGTCCTCACTTATTAGGTTGTTGGGGACCTGAGGCCAGACCAGACGGGCCAGGCAAGCACAGGGTGAGAAGCTTGAGTGGATCTACACGTGATGCGCAGGGTTCCACTCCCTTTTCTTCACACTGATCACGCAATCGCTGCTTGACCCACCTGCGGCAGTCATGTTGAAATCCTCGCTTGGATTGACTTTGACTTAAGGCTCCCACAGCTGATCTCACCTGGTCGCAGCTGCAGCAATTCTAACAACACTGACTGGTACGGAGGCTGCTTTTTCCAGACCGTCTCGGGATCCATGATTCGCCAGCCTTCTTCTCGCCCAGATTACTGTTCTTGAGCTTGTCGAGCACCTGCTTCAGATCGATGCCTTCTTCTTTCCATCTTTGGGATTGAAAATGCGACAGCAAGGCCTAGTCAACACCTATTGACTCGAACCAATTGTTCTTCTGCTTCACTTTGACGGTTGATGAGTTTTAATCCTGATTGCCACCCAAGGTCTGCGAAGTCCTTCCAGCTCACTTGGGATAGGCGTCCATCAGCCTTCTCGACCAGGTGTCCGCCAGACTCAATCGACCCTATTGCCAACGCCATGCAATGTATTGGGTCACTCCCGGCCGTCAGGGCATAGAGACAGACAGGGCCACCACATGGCTGGCGATCGTCGTTTGTGCCTCGAGACAGGCAGAACAAACCCGACTCCTGGGCTCCACGGAGAAATCATGGAGTAACACACAAGGCTCGAGCGACGGCGGTTGGGCAAAAGAGAGCCACTACCACATGCTTCCCGAGAGCTCCACCATGTTTTCTTGGTGTTCGGTACTGCTCCCGGGAGAAGTTGCCTCACTCGAGAAAACAACCGCTGTCCCCCACCGAGGCTTGAATGTCTACCTGCCCGATGAGGGAAAACCTGGAAGCCTGAATCGCGGGGTAAAAGCCGTTGAACCTGGACGAGGTAATTCTGGGCGATTCTACCTCGAACGGTTGGCGAATGAACGCTGCAATATAGCTAACCTTACCCCATGGGGGATCCGGGCTAGCGAGGGGCCCCCGGAAATTACTGAAGCTTTGGGAATTGACCGTCATTCGGCCTTCAATGCACCGACCGAGGGAAAACATGACATCGTCAGGTGGTCGTGTGCAAGTATTTAACCATGCCGATCGACTCTCGACGAGAGTCAGGTCCCAGCATGTCGGTACCGCCTCACTCCCAAGCGTAGCATCCTCACCAACACCGACGCCATGAGACTCCTCGGCACCTTCAAGGCATTGGGCGTGGCCCTGCTCGCCACCACGGCTTCTGCTGTGTCGATTGCGCCCCGGCAAGAAGCAGCCGCCCTCGACCTCACCAGTCTCGCCATCCTGACCAAGGCTGCCGACACCCAGGTCCAGACCACCATCAACAACAAGCAGAACCTGCTCAAGGGTCAGCCGCGTGCCATTGCCCGCGCTGTCCGTCAGCTCGTGACGCCCTTCGTCTGGCCCAATTCGACCTACTACCACGATGAGAGCCTGCTGCCGCACATTGAGGAGATGATGGCTGCCCTGACCAAGCGCCAACACTGCGATGGTACCTACAGCGTCGGCAACCGCCACTCCCCGCCCGACACGGGCTTCCTGATCGAGGACTTTGGCATCATGGTTCGCATCCTCGAGAAGGACGACCATGATAACTCGCAAGCCATCGCTGATGAGATCCGAGCCATCCTCGTCAAGGCGGGGCCCGGCCTTGCCAAGGGCGGTATTCACACCCCCAACCACCGGTGGAAGATCTGCGCCGCCCTGGCCCGCATCTCCACCATTACCGGTGACGAGAGCCTGATCAAGCGCATCGACGAGTGGCTCGCCGAGGGCATCGACATTGATGCGGACGGCATCTACTCGGAGCGCAGCCCCAACTACTATTCGGCCGTCTCCAACCCCTCACTCCTGACCGTGGCCCGCGAGCTCAACTACACCGACCTCATCCCCTTCGTCCGCAAGAACCTCGAACTCTCCATTGAGCATGCTGAGCCCAATGGCGAGATCGAGACCATCCAGAGCCGCCGTCAGGACCAGACACAGCCGGTGGGTGACAATATGCAGAACTTCTACACGCAGTTCCGCGAGCTGGCCATCCTCGACAAGAACGGCCGTTTCGCCGCCATGGCGCGCCTCATCGAGGAGCGCCTCGGCGCCAGGCTCGGTGACTTCCTCAGCGACCTCATCGAGCGCCCCGAGCTGGCCGTCAAGCTGCCCGAGCCCGAGAGCCCCTTTGTCGACTTCGAGAAGCACTACGCCACCGCCGGCCTCGTCCGTGCACGCCGCGGCAAGCTGACCGTCGCGGCCTTTGGCGGCTCGGACTGGTACGCCGACGGCAAGCAGACTGAGTTCTACAACCGCTTCGGCTCCGGTCTCTCGACGAACCCCACGCTGTTTCGCGCCTGGAACGGCAATCTCGCGCTCGAGGGCCTGCGTTTCGTGCCCAACTTCTTCACCATGGGCCACTTCCGGTCCAACGGTATCAAGTACGACAGCGACGGCACCATCAGGCTCGGCAGCGAGATGGAGGTCCCCTACTACTTGCCCATGCCCGCCGACCAGCGCGACGAGAACGGTGTGTACGCGCTCGGCCGGTCCGTCGCCGATGGCCGGTTCTACGCCATGCTCGACTTTGCCAACCGCCCCACCAGCATGCGCCGCCTCAAGACGGACGTGACCATTTCGCCCACCAAGGCCGGCTACGATATTGCGTTTGAGGTGACGGGCGAGCAGGACGTCGAGCTGACGTTTGAGCTCACGTTCCGCGGCAACGGCACCTTCAAGGGCGTCAAGGAGCTGACCAACGTCGACGGCGTCAAGACGACGCACCTCGTCGAGGGCACGGGCGAGTACAGCGTCGGCAACGACAAGATCACCTTTGGTCCGGGCATCGGCGAGGGCCTGATTGTGGCCGACGGCGGCGAGCAGTACAGCTGGCACGCGGGCGCCCTCGTGCTCAAGGGGCAAAAGGTGTACATTACCGGCACGTCGCCGCTGAAGTACACCCTTAACCTGGGCTTCTCTTAGATCTGAGACCGCACTCTTGATTAGCTACTTGAATGAGATATCCCTATGATCTGGACGCTTGGCATGTCTTTTTGGCCGTGTATGTACTGCCCTCTCCGTGATTGGCGCCCAGCTCGAGCCATGTGGTCATCCGGCAGGCCATGCAAGGTACACGTCGTTCCGTGGGGGTACGATGTAGAGAGAGTGCACTTCTCCTTTGGGGTAAAATCTCCGGATTGCTGACGATGTCGAGGCTCGCTCGTCTGGTCGGTGTCAAGCCACACCAATTGATGGACCAGTCGTGTTTGAAGCATTCGCTCAGGCTGATATCGACAGCCAGGACCCAAGGCCGGGTGGTTATGTAGTTAAGTTGGACAGCTGGAATACAGCTTCGATACCTGATCGACATGGGCATTTGAGGTGAGATAAACTAGTGCCCAAACCAACTCATGCTGTAGTTGACTCCCAAAGTGACCGTTCTCTGCGTCATGTATGCCTTTTTGATGCATCAATAATGAACTAAGCCGTTCTCCTCGATTTTCTGCCACAATGGTTCAGGAGTTCGTTACATGACATGTAGTAATGGACTACCAGGGGCAGCAAGGATTGCCTCGCATCGTATCAACCAGTTTGCAGCAGTCAGGTACAGAAAACACTACAGTCATGATGAGCACAAAGCTACTTTCCATTCAGACACCCATTATTCACAGGATGCAGGGCAGCATGCTGCTACCAGGTATTTGCTTGACGGCGCTGGCATCCAGGCTACGGTAAATTGCGAGTGTTGACTCACCCGCAACCTCCACAGCAGACCCCCCCAAGCCCCCCTGCGCCCCAAGCAGCGGCACTGGCCGATGACCCAGCGGTATCGATAAGCGATCGATAAGCGCCACTTGTAGATTTCGGCTTTCTCCTTGCCCCAAGTTGCGACAGTGACATTCTTCTTTTTGACATTTTCGTCGTCGCCGCTTCTCCACTCCGAAACCCTTCACCTTCGGAGGGCCATGTAGAGTTTGTTTCCAAAGAATGCTATCACGATCTATCGGCAGGTTCATGGCATCCGAAGTCAAGAAAGTGCCCATCCCCCGCCGTGGGGTGGACTACCGGGGCAAAGTCGTGCTCGCGCCCATGGTCCGCTCGGGCGAGCTGCCTTCGCGCCTGCTCGCCCTTCACTACGGCGCCGACCTCGTGTGGGGTGAGTTGACCATGGTCAAGTTTTCGACGTCTTCACCACCCACTGACCCGGCAGCGCAGGCCCCGAAACGGTCGACAAGGCTATCATCGGAACCACCCGAAAGGTCAACCCCGTGACCAACACGATCGATTGGACGCGGATCCCCTCCTTCGGCCAGAAGGAGCCGCCCCCGGACGCCAAGGAGGCCGTCGTGTTCAGCACGCACCCCGCGAAGGAAGCCGGCAGGCTCATCTTCCAGGTCGGCACAGCGGATCCGGACCTCGCCGTGCAGGCGGCGCGCCTCGTCGCCGGCGACGTCGCCGGCATCGACGTCAATGCCGGCTGCCCCAAGCCCTTCAGCACGCACAGCGGCATGGGCGCGCAGCTCCTGCGCACGCCCGACAAGCTCTGCGCCATCCTCGAGGCTCTCGTCGCGACCGTCGTGCCCGAGTTTGAGATTGGCGTCAGCGTCAAGATCCGCCTGCTGGCGACGCCGCCCGAGACCGAGGCCCTCGTGCGCCGCCTCGTCGCCACGGGCATCACGGGCCTGACGGTGCACTGCCGCACGACGCCCATGCGCCCGCGCGAGCCCGCCATCCGCGGCCAGCTGCGCATGGTGGCCGACATTTGCCGCGAGGCCGGCGTCGCGTGCCTCATGAACGGCGACGTCGACGGCCGCGACAGCGCGCTGCAGCTCATGCGCGAGTACGGCGTCGACGGCGCCATGATCGCCACGGCCGCCGAGAAGAACGCCAGCTGCTTCCGGGCCCAGGCCGACGGCGGCCTCGCCGGCTGGCGCGAGGTGACCGAGGTGCACACGAAGCTGGCCATGGAGGTGGGCAACAAGTTTGGCAACACAAAGTACACGCAGAACCAGATGATCCCCGGCAAGCGCGAGACGCTGCAGCTGCTCATCAAGGCCAAGAGCTACACGCAGCTCTGCAGGGCGCTCGGCCACGACGCCCTGCTCGAGAAGGCGCGCGAGACGGACCTCTACCTGGACCTCAGCCCCGACGGCGAGAAGGTCTCCAAGAAGGCCAAGAAGAGGGCCAACGCCAGTGCTCTGGCGGCTGGCGGCAACTCGGGCCAGGACCGCGTCAACCAGGCCGTCAAGACCATGTCGGCGAGAGGCGTCCAAAAGTCTGCAGAGCTGCCGCAGCCATCTGTTGCCCTCCCGACGTGAGCTGGAGGCCGTGGTCAAAATTGCGTGGGTCGAGAATGCCGCTTTGGCATTTGGGGGCATTGGGTTGCATTGGCAGGCGTTACTAGGAGGCGGCATAGCATGGTAAGAACGTGTATTCTTATTTTGAACGAGGACTCGACGCTCGAGCGGGAGACGGATAAATAGGAAGGGTTGTCATGCAGATGGACTGCCGTCGTACTATAAAAAAGTCACGCACGTAGAGTTGACAGGCTCGTCATGGCCACCACACAAATCAAACACAAATGGAACATGCATTCCCCTTCTATCCGCATCTAATGTATGATACAGCGAATTCGTCCCGACGGGCGATTTATTTTCCCTTCTTGACCCAGTCCTCGACCGTCTCCCGCGCATCCGTGACCTTCTCATTCACGTAGTGCACGCCCAGCTCGCTGTGGACCTTGGCAAAGCTAATGGTCCTGCTGATGCCCTCGCGGAATTTGAGGTGGCTCTCGGCCACGACGGGGAAGCGCTGCTCGTACTTCCAGGCCAGGTTGGCGACGTTGCCGGTGGTGATGGGCAGGACGGTCCAGCCGGCGGCGATGCCCAGGGCGAGGGGCGCCGTGGCGCGGAAGAGAATGTTGCTGCGGCGGGTGACGATGCTGCCGGCCATGGCGGCGACGAGGACGTAGATGGCGCCGGGCATGAGCTTCTCGCCGCTCTCGCGCGGCGGGGCGAGCGAGGCGACCGTGTTGGTGAAGGACTGCTCGAGGTTGAAGGCGCGGTCCATGGTGCGGTTGACGGCGTCCTCGGCGCCGAGGGCGACCTTGTAGAGACTGAGACGGGCCTTGCCGATCTGGACGGCCAGCCTGTCCGTCGGCGTAGGGCCGCGGGACTTGGGCGCTTCGTCTTGTTCGGGGAGAGACGCGGCGGTTGTCGTAGGCCGGACGAGGAGGGGCGCGACGACGGTCTCGCTCGTTGTCGCGGGGAGCTCAAAGTCATCATAGATGGACTTCTTCTTGATCTACACGGGCTGTCAGCAGTGCGGCGACGCAACGATCGGGCGTGAGTAGAGTCCCACCTGACGGCTCTCCGGGGCTTCGGCGAGAACAGTAGAAGGGGCCAGGGCGATGCCTCCAAGGACCATCGCACCTAACGGCGCAGCGCGCTGAGAAAAAGCGTCAGTCTGTTGACAGGTTCCAGTGACATGGCAAAGTGGCTTACCCTCTGAAAAAGTACTCTCGCAGCCATGGCCTGCTCAATTGGTCGTCTGCGGCAATTGGACGTGGTCTGGTCTCACGAGAATCTTCAGGACTGGACGTCACGAATGATGCTGGTACCGGAACTGAGGTTCTTTCGGCTCGGACCAACTTGCGGAGCTTACCTAAGGTCGAGCAAGAGGGAACTGAGGCGCAAGTGGCGGGTGGGTGGCCCGGCTATTTCCGGCATCTTCGCCAATGCGTCAGCTAAGTTACGTGCCTGAGAAGGTGCCTTGGAAGGTACTCACGTAGGTACCTTACCTAGGTAGGTAGGGTGCGTCTCCAGAAAAAGCTCCGCCTTGCCTCCTCAAGCAAGCTCCATCTAATTCGTAGCCCAGGCTTCGTCCCAATGCCGACCTCGCACTCCATCTCTCCTTTGTCACACGCGACACTCTCTCCATCTTGAGATGATGCTGGGCTGATACAAGATTCCGACTTCAAATGTTCAAAACCCCGACTCGAGGCCTCTGGGTCTGCACCAAGTGCGCACGCGACTCTGCTTCCCGCGTCCAACGTCGATCATGGCTGTCTGCAGCGTCCGGAGCTGCCTCGGCTTCCCACCCAGTCGACCGATCTGCCCCCGGGGCAGTCAGGGATGATGCCATCCTGCGGGAGCTCTTCGACTCTCCAGCGCGAACGGCAAAGGCCTTCAAGGCGAGCGAGCTGCAGCCCAGCGCAGGCCTCTTCAAGAACCGATACCTGACCAGTCCCAATGGCTTCATCGTTTTTGCCAGGCGCAGCCTGCAGAAGGCCTCGAAGATTGTGGACCGGGTCCTCGGCGCATCTTCCACTGCCGAATACAAGGCCATCGTCAAGGACTTGGACCGGCTGAGCGACCTCCTCTGTCGCGTGCTCGACCTCTCCGACTTTGTGCGCATGACACACCCCGATCCTAGGTTCCAACAAGCCGCCGCCGGCGCCTGGTCCCTCGTCTACCAGTACATGAACCAGCTCAACACCATGACCGGCCTCAGCGACCAGCTGACCAAGGCCCTCGCAAACCAGGACGTCGTGGCATCCTGGTCAGAGGAGGAGAAGACCGTGGCCGATATTCTCAAGCTCGACTTCACAAAGTCGGCTGTCAACCTGCCGCAGAGGGAGCGCGACAGGTTTGTCGATCTTTCGCAACGAATCAGCGAGGTCGGGTCGGATTTCGTCTCGGAGATGGCCCCCGAGAAGGAGGAAATCGTGCTGCCCTCCTCGAGCTTCTACGGCCTCTACCCGAGCATCGCTCGAGCACTAACACGAGGCGGCAAGGTCCGCTTGCCGTCCATGAGCGCCGAAGCACAGGCGGCGCTGCGCACCGTCAAGGATGAGGATACACGGAGGGCCGTCTTCATCGCGAGCCGTACAGCTTCGCGCCGTACTGTGCACAGGTTGGATACGATGTTGAAACTGCGATCGGAACTGGCTGAACTGTCCGGGTTCCAGAGCTATGCACACCTGGCATTGAAGGACCGAATGATGGCCAAGACTCCCGGGTCTGTCATGCAGTTCCTTCTGGCTCTGCAGCAACACAACAAGCCCATCGTCCAAAAGGAAATGGCAGACCTGCTCGCGCAGAAGCAGACGCATCTCGACGGCATGGCTACCAAGGTTGAGCCGTGGGATAAGGACTATCTCATGGATAGCGTGAGGCTGGACATGAGGCTGCCGGTCCGTCACCCTGATCAGCTAGCGGCTTATTTCTCGATTGGAACCGTCATGCAGGGCCTTTCGAGGCTCTTCAGCCGCCTCTACGGTATCCGCTTTGTACCCAGAGAGACGCTGCCTGGCGAGACTTGGCACGAGGATGTCCGGCGCCTGGATGTGGTGACCGATGCGGGAGACCAGATTGCTGTACTATACTGTGACTTGTTCTTCCGCAAGGACAAGTCACCCAACCCGGCGCACTTTACGGTGCGCTGCTCTCGCGAAATCTCCGAGAGCGAAGTCGAAGAGGCGGCCGCGGAGGTCGACGGCGGCGACGCGGGCCCACGCTTCGACTCGGCAGCCCAAGCCGCCAACGACGGCATGGAGAGCTCGACGCAGGGCGGCGTCTTCAAGCAGCTGCCGACGATCGCGCTGGTCTGCGACTTTCAGAAGCATGAAGACTGGAAGAGCCCGTCGCCGGCGTTGCTGACGTTCCACCAGGTCGAGACGCTGTTCCACGAGATGGGCCACGCGATCCACTCGATCCTCGCGCGCACGTCGCTGCAGAACGTGGCCGGCACGAGGTGCGCCACCGACTTTGCCGAGCTTCCCTCGACGCTGATGGAGCACTTTGCCGCGGACCCGACGGTCCTCGCCCTCTTCGCGCGCCACTGGCGCACCGACGAGCCCCTGCCCTACGCCATGATCGCCGAGCGCCTGCGCATGTCCAAGCGGTTCGAGGGCTTCGACACGGAGAACCAGATCCTCCTCGCCATGCTCGACCAGGCCTACCACGGGCCCGAGGTGGCCGGCCCGGGCTTCGACTCGACGCGCGTCTACCACGGGCTGCAGAGCCGGTTCGCCGCCGGCCCCACCGACCCGCCCGAGACGTGCTGGCAGGGCTTCTTCGGCCACCTGCACGGCTACGGCAGCACGTACTACAGCTATCTCTTTGACCGCGTGCTCGCCGAGCGCGTCTGGCGCGTCGTCTTCGCGGCCGGCGCCGATGGCAAGGCCGTCGACCGGGCCAGCGGTGAGCGGCTCAAGGAGAACCTCCTCAAGTGGGGCGGCAGCCGGGACGCGTGGCGCTGCCTGTCTGACACGCTGCAGGACAAGCGGCTGGAGGAGGGCGACGAGAAGGCCATGGCCATTGTCGGCAGCTGGGGCATCAAGGATGACCACCACGCGTGAGGCACTGGTGGGTGCCAAACTATGTACAATAACAAATAGACGACGCATCTTATACGATGGAAACACAAGATTTGTACATCATCACTCGACGTGCGAGAGATGAGTTTGTGACTGTCCCAGGCGGGGGCTAACCCCTGCATGCACCAACGCTAGCACTTCGTCAGCTGACAAGCATAAATCGTTTGCATACACTCCAACGTGTCGTAAGTCGACTAGCAGCCACGCCATTCCTGTCATCCGTCTTACCATCCCTGGGCAATGGCAAACAGCCGCACAAGCCAACGAAACCCACCAGTAGTGGTGTTCCGGTGCCTCGGGTGTGTCGCGTGGCATCGCGCCGGCAACGGACAGCCCAGGTGAAACCTTAAATCAACGTCCTGTCCGACCTAGGCACAAGCGTATAGGGAAAGCCCGGTAGTGCGTCGCTTACGAGCCTAGCGAGGGACGGACTCGTCAAGCAGAACCCTGGGTGCTCCGCCGATCCACGAGTCGGTCCCCCTTGGAGAATCACTTCCACGAAATGCAAAGCTGAAAAAGTACTACCCCGAGAACATGGCATACGGTTATGAGGGGAAAATGCCAGGTCCATGGCGCGCTGAGCTTGGGGTCCACTTCACCCAGGCAAGCGGCTGACTCGCAATCCTCAATACGTGTATCCTTCACGTGTTTAAAGTGGAGGCGCATCCAACAACCGATGGAACACACTCCCACGATGGGACTCATGTCCAGCTCACCGGCCCACAATGCCCACCGAGGTATAGAGATCATTGCCATGTGGATTTGAAGATTTCCATACGCGGGTGTGGCGGTCGAACGATTTGAAGACGGACAATGCCCCGGCGGCGGCAATCCTTCCCACCGGTCCCATCAGGAGGTACCTACGTGCGTACCGCCACTGGCACCATGAGCTTGAAAGACTAGACAAGGGTAAGTCTTGTGCATTGTTGCCTCGTACAAAAGCTGATGTCGGACAGGAGAACACAAACAGTGGATAACGTCATTGGCGGATCGCCTGGGTGATATCGTGAGGAATCACGACGAGCAGCCGAAGCAGCCGAACGTTACCTCCTTTCCCGAGTTGATGCCCAGGATTAAAGAAAATGGCTATCCTGGATCACAGATAGGTATACAAGTGTCGTCGTCGTGCGATGTCGAAGCCTGATCACATGACCATCGATGCGTTCGCACGGCTTCAGACCCCTGATACACCACTCCAAACGAATCTGGCATTTTTCACTTGAAAAAGGCAACTGCAGCAAGAAAACGATCTGCGCAACTCTTTCGTAGAAAACACAGTGTGATGCGTCTTTTCATGACGGTCTTTCCCAGCGAACTAATGCCAAGGTGGTCTGAGAATCGGAAGACAGCCAGGCAACTTGAATGACGAAGCAAAGCTCTGTAGCTTCACGGGCGAAAATGTGGCACAGCCACCTTGAGACACAGAAAGCAGCAATGTCGAAGAGCCCTGGGGTCTAGTGAACGTCAAGTGTTGCGAGTCTTGGCTGCAGAAGGTCCTGAACCCCGCGCGCATCGGGGAGCGCGCGTTGACGCCCGGCTTTCACTCTTCTGGCCCCCGAGGGTTACGCGACATGACGATTGTCCGAGGCTTCGAGTCCACAAGCTTTGGCTCCCTTGACGCACCGCGCTACAAGCCCATCATGTGACTGATAGGAGCAATGCAGGCAGCCGGCCAAGCTACAGGGTGTGGACACAGCAGGATGGATGGAAAGCACTGGGGTCACACAACTGAAGGGGATCGTTGGCTCGGGTGTGGAAGCAGACTGAAGGAGAAACAACGGAAGCAGGTTGAAGGAGAAGAAGCGAAAGCAAGGGAACGGCTGGACCCCTTCCGATGGTTGATGCGGTATTGCTTGAGGAAGAGTCGCGTGGAGTGACATGAATGGCTGTCGCCAGGCGAAATATGACAAGCTACGTGACAAGCGAGATGCACCGCCTCGCCAGTGAGCCATAGCCGACTGAACGTTGCCAGCTTCCGGGCTTGGGGGGTCAAACCAAACAGAAAAGAACAAATGGCAAGGGTCTATGAATGCATGGGACTACTGATCGCCGTGTGCACATTTCCACGACCTCGGCATTTGGAATCACCAGGGGGGCTACTGGTTGACAACAGCAGAAGATGTTTGAGCTGAGCTTTCGAGGCAAGGTGCCAAACCATGGGATACACGGGGAGCTCTGTAGTCTGTAGCGTACCAAAGTCTCGCCAGGTCTATATGCCACGGATCAGCAAGAAACGACGACGATGAAGATGAAGGAGGTGAAGTGGATGAGACGGACCAGTGGCGGAGCATTGATGCATCTGGCGCGTGAGGGTCCAGGGCTGACACTCGAAAAAAGGTACATGACTCTCCGAGCCAGAGAACGTCTTGCAACAAATCGCGCGAGAGCGAAAAGTTGACAGTAGACACGCAGCAGGCCAGGCTATGGGTTACGTAGGTGCCTGTTTTCTTTGCTGAAGGACGGTGCAGGGACCTCGAGGCCGACGAGTACCGATGAATGACCCTGGAACGATTGATGCATGTGGCACACTTCGGCACCATGATTTTAGCGTAAGTGCGCTGGGCTTTCACTGGGTGTGTTGCTTGGTGTATGCTTCCGGATCTTGCAAGGCAGTGCTTGGTGTGGTACAACAGTCCAGACCAAGACACTGCAACTTTCCATTGGTATTTTAGCCCGCCTTACTCCCTGCCCAGGCAAGTAGCTCGAGGTAAGTAGGCCACCTTGGCGTACATCACACCATTCTCACCGAGCTGCCTCTTGGTTGTCTACCTTACCTATCAGCAGCGGACAGGAGCCCGACCTGCCACCAGGGATCAACCATACCTCTACGCCGCCGCCCCCCCCATTGGACCCTCATTTCTGCTGGCCACAAGCGCGCACAGGTCCCTTTCGATACCTCATGCGCAGCACGCCCGGGACAATGGTGCCCGAGTGTACGCGGGTCGAGTGGGCAGGCGACGGAGGAGTGGTAAGAGGTGGATGGGGGGCAGGAAGAGGCTGCCCAGAGGTCTGGCGTTACACAGGCAGCCATATGAGGGAACGGCAGTTCATATGACTACCCAAACAATGGATTCATCTACTAGCTAGCTGCAGACCTCTAAAAGCTGACCTTGATTGCAGAAAGTCCACATTTAAGAATCCCCGGACCCAGTGCTCAAGCTCAACGCAGCGCTCCTACTCTTCGATCACCAGCAAGCAAGACTTCGAACAGTACCTACCTACCTGACATTTCCTTACCTTTGGTACCTTACCTTAGGTACCTTACTTTAAGGCTGTAACACAGCAGCGCGTCTGCTAGTGCCATACCCCCGAGACTCCTCTGTCCTTACCCCCTCCTCTGTCCTTCCCCCTCCTCTGTCCTTCTTCCTCTGTTCTTTCCCCTGTCCTTCCGCCCCTGCCCTCCCACGCCTCTGCTTTCCCCTCGCTCTATCCTTCCCACCCCTCTGCTTGCCCCTCGCTCTGTCCTTCTCACTTTCTACCCTTAGCCCTCTTCTTTGCCCTTCTCCCACACGATTCTACACTGCGTAAGGGATGCGCGACAGACGCAGGCACACCACAGCAACCAACCACCCCATCGAGGCTGACGTCGTCCTCGACGCCGACCATCTCACGAAGATATCCTGTCTGAACCACAGGTAGCATCCGCAAATAGAAGAAGAGACGTACTCTATCTTCCCTTTGCTGTCTGCTCACAAGTATGCTTGTTGTCCGCGGGGCCCTTTCGTTCGTTGCTCGGACTGACGGTGACCACGACAGGCAGTCGACAAAAGAGGTCGACCCCGAGCAAGTGTATCAAGAAAGCATCGACGGTCACCGCCCAGCTTTCTTGCACCGACGTCACACAATGTCGTCGGATACCACCAGCGCCATGTCTCGACTTGACCAGGCGCCCTGCGTTTGCGACTCGCCTGCGGGTGGCAACAGCCAGAAGCGCCGTTGCTCCCAATGCAACGGAATGCATGAGGCCCGTGCCGCCATAGACCATAGTCACCCAGGTGAACCGACGGTCCCGGTCGGCGCGCCCAGGGACAACGACGCCAGCGACTGCGATGGCGATGCCCCTACCGCCTCGAACGTTTTCTCCAGCCCAACCCTCTACCAGGGTGCTTCCGAGACCAACGACAACCGGCCTCGCCTCGGGCTTAGCTTCGAGCATGGCCTCGAACTTGGCTACCGACCTGGCTTCGAATCTGGCTTCGAATCTGGCTTCGAATCTGGCTTCGAATCTGGCTTCGAATCCGGCTTTGAATCCGGCTTTGAATCCGGCTTAACACTTGGCTCAACACTTGGCGACAGGCCTGATGACGGGCCTGATGACAGCCTGGCCGTCGCCGAACGCGGCGAGTCGTCCGTGTCCACTGAAACCACGGAAGGTCCTCGGCCGGCTGGTAGCATCGTCGATGGCGGGGCCCTGACTGAGCCCAATCTTGTCTTCCATGAATTGGTGAGCAGAAACGTCCTCGACCGCAACGACGCTTTCTTCCATCCCTTGGGTATCATCGTCACGACTACCGGCGGCGGGTCTCCCAACCACACGGAGCCCTCGTCTGAGGTCACCCCCAGCAGTCCGATCACCCCCAGCAGTCTGGTCACCCCCAACAGTCCGGTCACCCCCGCCGGCTCAAGCCGCGGGTCAACGACCAGCGCAGCCAGCGAGCTCGTCCCGGAAGGGATCGCATTCGGTGAACCGTTGGCGCTGGCCGGAGTTGGCCTTTGGGTGGACATGACAGTGGAGCGCCGCCCAATTCAAGACTTCTTCCGTGACCTCGACGATACCCTCGATGAGTAAGGAAACCGGCTCGACGCTTGTCCAGCTTGCAGGCCTACCTCATCCCAACACTTGTTAGATACTCGCCCGATTCATATAGACTGGAGCTTCTCTGGTCTCGCGGTATGGAACTGTTGCGTTGTTGTACCCGTCTGTAAAATGGTCAGCTAAGTTTTCTTTTGTTTGCAGTTTTTTTCTAATTTTTTTTTTCCTTAGAAGGTATAGGGGGGACAAAATACTAAAGGGAAAACAAAATCCTCAAGGAGTGAGCAGCAGAATAGAGGTGTTAAGGCCGCGAACCGACCCATTGTTTACCCGTTTTCTTTTTGATGCATGGTCAGGGGTTCGACCGTTTTTATCCCTTTGTGCAGGCTACTCGGTAGACATGAGCCGGGGAATGCGGGGACGTTCTCGGCAGTAGGTCGCATTGTTTGGTCTAATCCAGCTAGTGCATCTAGGATCACCATCGCGATACGACCTCAACTCCCTCAACGTCCCCACGCCGGAGGCATGGCGAGTCGTGGGCCCTTAGATTTAGCCTAATCATCAACCATCGTTTCGTCACCAGTTCTTGAGCGATATTGCCGGTCGTCCGCCACGGACCCTGCCGTGTCGCGTCTTATGCGGACAGTTTTGCCGCGAGATTGGCAGCTTTCTCCGCAGCGGAAAGTCGGGCAATGTACGTGTACCAAAGATGGAATGTCTGGACATGCCGGGGGCCTTTATAATCGAGCCCACGTCCGTGTAGCGACGAGCCGGACGCATCTGCAACTACGGTCTTTTCGCCGTTGCTCTCGTGTCTGCCCGCTCGCTCACTCGGCCACGTGCTGGCCTCGCCCCCCCTCCTCTTCGCCATCATGTTCACCCTTTCTCTGAAAAGGGCTCTCACGGCCCTGGTTGCTCTGAGCGCCGTGACAGATGCCCGGCCGCCGTGTCCACCGAGAGACAACCAGGAATGGGTCACCGTCTGGGGCGCCATGCCCCAGCTGACCGAGCCACATAACCTGCCGCCTGCCCCATTCGTGAGTCAAGATGAGCCCTCCGCATGAACCATGGCGTGAGACGTAGGCTGGTCAGCAGAAGTGTTAACTCGACGTGCAGAACGAGACGGGACTTGTCTTCAGGGACACGACGATTCGTCAGACGGTCAAGGTCTCGCTCGTGGCGTCCACGATTCGCCTCCAGATCAGCAATGTCTTTGGCGGCTCGGATCTGCCCATCACGGCCGTCTCGGTGGCCTTGCCGTCGGATCCATCGGTGGCCGGCACGAGCGGCATCCAGGCCGACACGGCGCGAAAGGTGACCTTTTCTAATGCAACGTCGTTCGTCGTCCCGCCCGGCGCCCTCTACGTGTCGGACCCCATCACGCTCGAGGTCGAGGCCGAATCGATCCTGGCCATCAGCATCTACCTCGCCGCCGGCCAGACGACCAACGCCATCACGTCGCACCCGGGCAGCCGCACGTCGTCCTGGCTCGCGTACGGCAACCACGTTTCGGACGCGGAGCTGCCGTCACCTGTCCGTACCGACCACTGGTTCCTCATCTCGGCGCTCGAGGCGCGCCTCTATAAGGGAGCCTCGACGTTCGCCATCGTCGGCGACTCGCTCACTGACGGCCGCGGCTCGACGACAAACGCCAACAACCGCTGGCCCGACCGCCTACTGGCGCGCCTCCAGCTCGACCCGGCCACGAGCCAGGTCGCTATTCTCAACCAGGCCGCCGGCGGCAACCGCGTGCTCAACGACGGCCTCGGTCCGGCGGCCCTCGGGCGCATCGACCGCGACGTCCTCGCCCACAGCGGCGTGCGCTACGCCCTCCTCTTCATCGGCATCAACGACATTGGCACGACGGCCTCGGACGAGGCGGCCCTGACCCTCACAGCCGGCCGCCTCGAGCAGGCCTACGCCCAGATGGCGTACCGCATCCGCCGAAAGGGCATCGCTGTCTGGGGCGCCACGCTGACGCCCATGACGGGCGAGGGCCAGACGTACGGGACGCCCGAGCGCGAGGCCGCGCGCCAGCGCGTCAACGCCTGGATCCGCGGCAGCGGCGTCTTCGATGCCGTCGTCGACTTTGACGAGATAGTCCGCGACCCGTCGGCGCCCGAAAAGCTGGCGGCGGCGTATGACGAGGGTGACCACCTCCACTTGAACCCGGCTGGCTATCAGGCCATGGCGGACGGGTTCGATCTCGCTCTGTTCACGGCGGCTGCGGCGGGTACGTCTGGCTGGAGGAGGTGATGCTCGGCAATAAGTTGGGTTCTGCACCGTTTCGGCAGCAGTCGAGTCGGGAGTCTGATATCTGAGGTTGGAGGAGAGAAAGAAGAGACAGAAGGGACAGGAGGGCGCAGAGCTCGGGTACCTAAGGTATGTTTAGGTAGAAAGGACGAGAAAAGAGAAAACAGTGACCTGACCCTCCGGTGCCTCACTACCTCATCTCGGAGCGAATGGTAAAGCTGAGGAGGCAGGTCTGCATACCCTTTGATTCCTCCACACCCTATGCTCATGTCCTCTCGCCCCGGATGGCAGTCGCCATGATGCAAAACACGCCACTTTATCATTATGGCCGCTTGCTTGATAATCGGTTTGTTATAGGGCGTCGGGATGTATTGGACACGCGGCATCTTTAACCAATAGCGTTTATCGTACGTACTCAGGACGCGGGCCCCGACAGGATTAGTTGGTGCATGTGTAGCCAATTGGGTATGTGTAGCCTCACGGTCGCGTCACGAAGTCGACGTGTCTTGTTTTTCTCAGTCAGATTTTCAAGAGGAAAAGCAGCGGTGAGGAAGAAGATGTTTTTCTATACATTCTATCCTACCCCCTTCGTCTCTCCCCGTCTGCCTTGCCAAACAAGACGAGGGAACGCGAAAAGACGGTACGACAAGACAACAACAACAAGAAGAAAATTGTAATTCTACTGCCTCTCGGAAACAGGATTTTTATTTGTCCCAAAATAAACGCCGCGCTGAACAGGATGGAAGTTACTTTCACACAAACTCTGCAGCCCCTCGCCCCCCCCCTCCCGATGCACTTTTCCTCTTGTGAAACATTTGGTCTCCCACAAACTTGCTCTTGGCTTGTCTATGATGCAACAATGATCTGATGCCATGCGTCCGGGGCACTACGTCCAAAGCATACACGTGCCGTCGGCGCCGGCGGACACGCACCACGGCTCGGTGGGGTGCCAGTCGACGTCCATGACGCCGAGCTTGGCGACGACCTTGTGGCCCTTGAGCATCTTGACGGGCACAATGGTGGGGTTCTCCATGAGGTCGCTGACGACCTTGCCGTGGAAGATCTGCAGGCTGCCGTCATCGGAGGCGTCGGCGAACAGCGGCAGGCCGCCGCGGTGAAAGCGCACGGCGCGGATGGCCTCGGGGTGGAAGCGCATCGTCTTGTAGGGGCGCGTCGAGAGGTCGAGGTCGTGCCACAGCAGGCGCCTGTCGTAGGAGCCGACAATGATGTTGTCGCCGCCGGGGTGCACGTCGAACGAGGAGATCCAGCGCGCGCCGGGCTGCAGCATCTTGACGAGCTCGACCTTTTGCAGGTCGTAGCAGCGAATCTTGCGCTGCGTCGCCACGAAGAGCAGGGGCTTGGACGGGTGCCAGTGCGCCGTCTGCACGAGGCCCTGGAACTTCTTGAACGGGATCTGCGTGAGGTGCTTCGAGAGCGTGTGGATCGCCACCGAGCTGCGCTGGCCTGTCGGCGACACGGTGCTGAAGTAGTCGCCGCGGCGCTGCCAGCTAATGACCTTGACGACGGCGCGCACCGTCACCTTGAGGAGCACGCCCTGGTCCTCGAGCTTGGCGCCGGGCCGCGTCCACTTGGCCGGCGGCTCCTTGGTCGTGCCTGTCGCCGAGGGTTGCGCGCCGTTGGTGGCGTAGCCGAAGCCGGCGTCGATGATGTCGCGGCTGGCCTTGTCGATGCCGTCGGCACCGCGCGGGGGCACGATGAGGAAGATGTCCTCGCCGGCCGCCGCCGCCAGAATGAACGTCTCCTTGGAAGGGCGCCAGCGGACGGCGTTGACGGCCTCGTCGAGGCTGATCTTGGCCATCCACTCCTGGCGACCGGTGCGCAGGTGCCACAGGCGGACGGTGCAGTCGTCGCCGCCGCTCGCGAGCCACTCGCCGTCGGGGCTGACGGCGAGCGAGCGCACGCGGCCCTCGTGGCCGCGGAAGATGGTTTGGCACGCCGTGGGGAAGGGACGTAATTCCTCGGGGCGGGGCAGCTTGGGGAGCAGTGACGCCGGGTCGATATTGAGCCTGTTCTTGCGCATGCGGGGCGCGAGGTAGAGATCGAGGCAACGGTTGAAACGCTCCTTGACGAGCTCGCCGTACGCGGGGACCTTGCGCAGCGAGTCAAACTTGGCGGGCATGTACTCCTTCTCCCTCTCCTCGGGATCTTGCTTCAGCCACTCCTCCTTCTCGGCCTGTGTGGGCAGGTACTCGGGTGGGGGGTTGTAGCTGAGGTCGTAGCCCGGGGGTGGCAGCTTGGGCGCAGGGATGTTCATGACGTTGAAGGGTTGGGGCTCCTCGTTGGCCCAGATGTCGTAGTATGTCTCCTCCTTCTCCTCCTCCTCCCTCTCCCTCTCCTCTTGCGGCTTGTATGGCAGGATGCGGCCCTCCTTGATGGCGCGGACGAGCTTGGCGACCCTCTTGGCCTCGTGCTTCGAGGGGACGAAGCGACGCTTTGGCTCGGGCGCAGCGCTCAGGGGCATCTTCTCCTCGATGCTCGTGAAGTACTCGACCGTGTCCTGATTTTGTTAGTACGTTGCACAGGAATTTGAAATGGAGATGCATACAGGGTAGGGATCGTAGCCATCTTCGGGAACTTCGTTCATCTGGATCTTGCGCAGCAGCTCGAGCTGGTCCTGGGTCAGGTTGAGAGGCTTGCCCGTCTCGGGATCTGTCAGGCCGGTCCAGCCCTTGGGGATCTCAATGCTGTCGAGCAGGGCGTCGAGAGCCTCGCCGGTGGCCGGGCGCATGATCTTCTTGCCGTTGATGTCGTAGCCGATGTGAGGGTAGGAATCGTAGAAGGACAGGGGAATGTCGCCAATGGTGTTGGCGGGGCCCTGGGCGTCCGAGTCGTCCGAGTCGTAGACGGGATCAATCTCGTCGTACTCGTAGCGGACACCGCCATTGGCATCGGTGACGATGCGATAGCTGGGCCCCTCATCTTCGTCGTCGCCGGCGGCAATCTTGCCGTCCTTGCGCGCATCCTCGCCGTCTGAAGGAATGTCTTCACTCAGGAAACCATCATCCTCGTCCTCGTCCTCTTCGACATCGCTGCCTTCGAGTCCGTCAAACTCGGCGCTGTCGTTGTCGGTATCAGACCCTTCAGAGCCTTCAAAGTCGGAATCGTCCTCGCCCTCTGACAGGACGCCCTCCAAAGCGACCTGGTTCAGCTCATCGTCGGATTCAGGCTCAGCCTGAGGACCTTTCCGCTTTTTTAGACCCTGCTGTGGCGCCATTGGGTGAGGGGAAGAGTGTGGTGGTGGTAGTGGTGATGTTGGGGAGGGGGGTTCAGGTTGAGGGAGGTAGGTGCCTGCATCCAGACAGTGTTTGGCGTTGGCGGTGTTGGTGTGGCAGGTGCACTACAATGCTCGAATGGACAATTTTTTTTCTTTCTGCCGCGGGACGGTACACGGAGGGGAGCTCCTCTCTGGTGAGTTTGGCCGCCTTCCTCATTGGGGTCTGATGGTGGGGTTCTCTTGTCGGGAGTAGTGGCCAATGGGAAGACTCCGTAGGTTGCTGATGCGTGGCTTGCCTGGGTGGCTGACATAAGGCGCCACGCCCGCTGCCAGTCCGCTGGTGCTGCCCACTACCCACTAATCAAGGCGCCTCCCTAGAGCACCCCTCACATGGCTTCTAGGACACGGGTGACATAGGTTTCCAGGCGGCTTCTGGCGTACAAAGAGGCGCCTCAGCTCGCTGCAACTCCGGCCAAAACGGACAACGGCGCGGCCGTAGTCTGCTCCAAGACGCGACGAAACGCAACGTAGCATCCGTGGGACATTCCCAGTTAGGGAAGTTTGCTGGCCCGTGGATTATTTTTTGGGTCACAAGCCGGGATGACTTCGAGCGGTAGGCACC